CACCAACATCGAGATGCTTGGCTCCTAACCACAGGTTAAGTGGATGGCAACGTTTTTTTGTATAATCCGTTTGTCTTTAAGAAACTATCTGATAAACAATAAGTTAAGATTTGCCTTTAAATTTCTGTCTTTTCCATCTTTTCCGTTAATAATGATTGACGCACTCTACCAATTCACATCTAATTGATTGAAAAAGATTATATGAAAATCTAATTGCAAATAATTGTGGAATTATCTTAAAAATAAAATGATATTAGTTCCTTGATAAGCTTATTAAATTATCATTTTTCATTAAATTAATTTTCTTTAAATCTTAAAAGTCAGTAAGAAATAATATTTTTTTATGGGTTTTTTTTTTTGGGAACTTTCTTAAAATTAAAAGTTCCTGTTTAACATTTCTTTTAGTTGTAAAATATAAACAAACTACTATGTCTGGATATCAAGAAAAAGGAAATGAAATTTACTAACACACTTTTCTTTATGTTATTAAACTAAAAGAATATGAAATAAGAAGAGTATAAATAAAACTAGAAAAAAGTCAAAACTTTTGTGTATATTTTATCGAAAATCAGCACTCATATTTCTATAATTAAGGTTGCAGGAGCATGGTCATTCACAGATAGTAATCCAATTGAAACACTCGCATTTGAAAGATTATTTAAACCATAATTGTCACGTTAAAAATCTTTTTTTTTTTTTTTTGGGAAAAATTCGATGGAACAAAAATTCCAAACGAAGGAAAATAGAGTAAAATTCAAAGGGATGGAATTTAAGTGAAGGAAAAAGAATACATTTACTCATAATTTTAGTTAATAAAAATCCTTGTATTGAGCCATCATTGTCTTATGCGCCAATATCTTCAACATCACAAATGATGAAGTATGTTTCATATTGTCTTATTACGGCCTTCAAGTAATATCATCTTCATTATCAATCATTGATAATTGTAGTTAGCATGATTGTTCGGTGAAAAACGAATCTTTTTATTGCTCTCTTCAGAAGTCCCAAACAATTTGTAATATATTATGTTAATAGCAAGTATCTTGTAGGTTATAGTCAATCGTGAAAAAAATACATTACTCTTTTGAGTACGATATGAATATTGTCTCGTTAAAAACCTTGTCGAGAAAGTTCAATAGAGCAAAACGTCGTCAAGGAAAAAATAGTACAACTTGCATTCACTTACCCTAATAATAATATCATTTGAACTATTTGCTTCGTGTATATTACATTCGTTAATAGTATCTATAGTCTTATCAGATGGAATGGTCATAACCACATTTATTAGAAGCCTATCAAATTTCATGCATATTCTGACTAACAAGATATCAGCACGTGATTGAACACCACGAAAAATTATCTATTCATACAACTCTTTGCAAAATTCATTATATTAAGAGTCGTGCATTATATCTTATGATATGATTTTTCTCATTTCATTTTCGGACAAGTATTATTGACTTTACAACTTCATGTACTCGGATTATGATCAAAACTCTAAATTTCTCTAGTAAGTTCAGTTTTGCCTCTATTGCATCATTTAGGGTTATCAATTTGGCTAGTCTATTCGGGCGGCCCGTAACTAGGATCGAGAAAAGCCTGAGATGACCCTGCCTAGCTTACAGCTCGGAGAAATTGAGCTGAGACTCGGGTCGAGCCTCATTTTAGGGAGTTGGCCCGAACGGCCGATGGGCCAAAATTGGCCCTTGACATACCGGCCCAAAAAGGGCCAAAATGGCTTGTGTTATTTGAAAAAAAAAATTGGCAGCTACATCCGCTTTAAAAACAGGCAGCTACAGCTACCTGTTACGGCTGCCTCAACTATGAGGTAAAATTGCACATATTTGAAATTGTTTTAAAAAATTTAATTTGTCACAAATTAAAAAAAAAAGAGCCGAAAGCCCGAACCAAGTTTCAATATTTCAACCCTGCTCTAGGGCCAAAAAAAGCCCGAGTCAATTTTGTCTAAGACCAAATCTTGAGATTCGACTCAATTTGTTAACATCCCTAACGTCATTTTATTTGTTTAATCATTTTTACATTTGTATTCTTCAAAAGATTTCCTTCAATGTCATCACTATTGTTCATAATATTAAGCCCCTGTTTGGGTTCCATTAAAGTGTTTAAAATATCTATTTATTTTAACATTATAAATATTTGTGCAATACTAACTAAGAAACTGAAGTATATGGATTATGAAATAGCATGGGACGTAAGACTAACTACTAGGAGACCACAGCTTTCAACAGGTACTTCAATATGTAAAAGTTACAAAATATGTCAATAGTAATATGTTGATGTAAATCCCAATAATTTTGTGGAATTAAATTATTGGTTTTTATGTGCTACATAGTTATATCTTGGGAAGTTGAAGGACTAAAACAAAATAGGCTTTATCTATGGGCGCGATGGACAAGTGGCTGGTGCTGCAAATCGGGCCGGAGAAGAAAATGTGTGGTGGTGTGTGACGGAGGCAGGTGGCGGCACCGAGTTCTGACTGTGAAGTTGCAAATCAAACATATTATTGTTGATTTTATCTCTGGGTTTTTTTATTGTGTTTGTGGTTGGTGGTGATGGCTATGGTGTTGCTGATTTTGGCTGTTGGTGGTGACGGTTTAGGGATTTTTTTAGTGAGGCTGGTGGTTGCGGTGTGGTTGAGATGAAGATGGAGGAGATGGTAGTTGTGATGGTGGCTGTGATGGAGATGGTGGTGATTGCTGTGACGGTGTTGGTGGTCGTCGTGGCGGCGACGACGACGACGGCAACGATGATAGTAGGTTTGGGGATTTTTTGGTTGGTGGTGATGCGGTGTGGTGGAGATGGTGGTCAAGGTGGTGAAGAGTGTAGATGGTGGTTGTGGTGGTCACGTTGGTGGTGGCATTGACAGTAATGGATTTGAGGAAATTGTGGTGGTGGTATGGCGGCATTGGTAGTTGTGCTACTGGAAGCGGAGGTGGTGGTCACAAATTGTTTTCTTGATTGTGACCAATAAATTAGTTGGTGCGTGACCAATAAACAATACGTGACCGATTGTGACTAAAAAATTAGTTGGTATGTGACCAATAAACAATATGTGAGCAATAAAAAAGATAAATTGTGATCAAAAAATAATGTATGATCTAAAAATTGTTAATTTGTTATCGATAAATTGAAAATGACTATTTGATAAGTTGTGACTTATAATATCTGTCATTTGTGACCTATAAATAAATTGTGACTTTTCAAATTTTGATTTGTGAGCGATAAACAAATTGTTACCTATAAAATTTTTGAATTATGACCGTAAAAAAATTTGTGACATATAAAATTTGTGATTTGTGACCAATGAATAATGTGACTTATTAATTTGATAGATTTATAACTGATAAATAATTTGTGACGTATAAATTTTTGATTTTTGACCAATGAACAAATTGTGACATATAAAATTTTTGAATTTTAACCATAAAATAATTTGTAACATGTGAAAATTGTGATGTGTGACCAATTATATGGAATTTTGGACCAAATTATATGGAATTGTGATCTTAATATATTTAATTAATAAAATATATGTTTAATTAATTCATTTATAAATAAAATTTAAAAAACTATGAGATTTGAAATTTTAAACATAATCTCTTAAATTTGAAATTGGTAAAACTAAACCTTTTAGTTTTGAAATTTTCCCTTTATATTTTTCCAAAAAGCATCTACGTAGAGCACTCCCCAAATCGCGAAGACTGTCTGGAAGGAAGTTTTCGAACCACGCATGGTAAAATAATATCTTGTGCATTTATGGCTTGGTTTCTAATTTAATAATAAGGGTCCGTTATTTTTTTTCCTTTAACCTCCCCGAGTAAAAATATTACACCTACATGTACATAAAATTGGACACATTAATTTACACTCACGTTGAGTTGACAGATTTTGGTACATTGATCTCGACATCACATTTTCCAATCAACTAGATTTTTGACACATCCGGGATTGTCAATCAAAGTGTACACTTTATTTACACTCACGTTGAGTTGACGAATTTTGGTACATTGATCTCGACACCACATTTTCCAATCAACTAGATTTTTGACACATCCGGCGTTGTCAATCAAAGTGTACACTTTATGTGTACAAGTAATTTAATCCAAAATATACTATCTAAACAAACCTTCTTTCAGACTGCTTAAAGATAAATACCAACAGAATCATTTAAACACAACCTTTAAAATCTTTGGCTTCAATGGTGCAAAGAAAGATCTACAAGTAACCTTATTAAATCATTCCAACACTCTCTCCAACTATCTACAACAACAAACGCAAAAAAATCCCATAAATTATATTACTCTTGCGGTATAAATGGCGAGGAACTCACTTCTGTAGTACTATAAAACGAGTCCCCTTGGCCAGCGTAATAGTTCTCGTCTTTCTCTTCATCCCACTTGATAACTTCCCTTGTGTACTTGAATGCTTCGTCAACAGTGGCTCGATCTCTTGCCTTAGTTTGCCAAACAAAGAGCTTTCGACCCGTAAGGGATGTATAGAGGTCCTTAAACTTCATAGCTACATAGTAGTAAGCTTGGTGTGCGATGGATTGGTTGTTGTTGTGGGGTCGAACAGGACTAAAATCAGTGAACCATTCACAAGTGCTCAAAGGAACACGGCTGACCTTCGCTTCAAAGAGATCGTACTTGTTCAGAATCAACACGAAAGGAGTATCTTTGAAACACGGGTGTCTGATCATTGTTTCAAATAGCTCTTTACTTTGGATCATCTTGTTTTGAAGCAGCACACCACTACCATTGTTCTCTACAGAAAGCCATGATTGATCATAATCACTCAAGGCAACACAGAAGACAACTACACGAACATCTTCAAACATCTCGACCCACTTGCAACCTTTATTCATACCCTTGGCATTTACTCGAATAAGTTGATACCTGGTGCTCAGAAAACATAAGAAAAATTTAACAAATTGGCAAGGACAAAAAGTAGAGAAAATTTGCAACTGGCATATCATATGTTATTGCCAGAATGTTAGGTGGCAGATCATTTACTATTAAGAGTGTTCTACTGAGTAAGACTATCCCACAATATACCATAGTGGAATAGGTACTTGGGAGTCTACTATTTACAGATTGAGATGATTTAGAAAATCATCATTATAAGGTGCTACTGTTGCGGTCATCAAATATATCAAAAGTTTCCCTTGTTTCAAGTTCTCAGGTCAAAAATAAAAACCTAATAAGTACAAATTACATGACCGGCAGAGCTGCAGATTCTTTTCAGTAACCGAGACAACTCCAGATAGTGACACTGTTCATCAACTATTACAGTAAATGATCATAAACAGCGTTATAGGAAAATAATTACCTTGTCATAGGTGGGGGAGCAGGTTCTAAATTGTCTGTGTAGGTTTCAGACATTGGGCTATGATCATCCAGGCAGAACTCCATAAAAGCCAAACCGTTCCCTTGTGTGACCCCTTCAGCATATAATATGTCACGTTCTGAAGGTTCATAATCATTGCTTGATATCTCAACTGCCTGAGGTATATACAGTCTGAGTAAACATCTCTCAAAAAAAAATGCACTTAACTTTTGCAAGCAGAAAAATGAAACTTTCTGTTGGTGTAATTCACCATAAATACTACTGTCACGCGTTGTTTCACCATATCTCTTAGCACAAAGTTTAACAAAAGTTACCCATTTGTTTAACACCTCAACACCACTATTTCAAACTTCAATTCTACCATATGTTTTCTAATGCGTATAAATATGTGCACATCATGTTTTTGCAATTTCTCAATACTCTATTCCGAAGAAGCAAAGTTTGGAACTAAGTGTATAAATGCTTCAATTTTTGGGAAGTGTTTTCTTTCCGAGACAATCAGAAATAACAAAATAGAGAAGCAATGCGGTAGCAGTCTCAAGGTCAGCATGCTAGACAGTGCTATTCTACTGGGACACAATCCAAAGTAAAATATCAACAGGACATGTCACTTATTTTGCGTAAGATAGATAAAAGCGTTGGCATCCAAAACCATAAAAGATACACGCAAAACTATTAGACAAAATCAGATTTTTTAAAATTAGAACAGCTATCACATTCAGTGTACGGCTGCAAGCAAAGAAGTCGGAAAAGATACCCTGCTGAGAAAGTATTCTGCCACATCTGGTAGGAAGTGCAGCTCATCTTTTCTCCTATACGTCGCTTGTATAGCAGGATCTCTCCACACTTCTTCAACTAGTGGAGCGTATTCGCGAGTTGCTGCAGGAAAGAATGCATCCAAATCTCCAGTGGCTATAATATCCAGGAGCCAATCTGAGAAATGCTTCAATTTTGTATTGAGGGAATATACACTCTGATTACTTTCATCGAGGTTAACCTCTTGACCTGATTGAAGTTCAAACTCAAGACATTAGATCAAGTAAAGAGCATTTGAAGTTATCTTTTCATCTTAATATTCATTTCATGCAAAATATATTTCCAAATTTGTCATATCATCATTACTATTACCAAATGGAAAACCCTTGCCACTTTTAGAGATTAAAGCAGGAAAACATAATTTACTTTAAAGATCGTTGTTGACGGGTTTGGAGAGAAAATCTAGGAGTGGATAGATTTACCTACTCTATGAAGGTTAGAAGAAATGTGGTACACTCTGGGATGTGAGGTCAGATCAGGTATTCCGATGTACTGGGGTCAGTTCTCTGTGTTCATAAAAATAGTCTTCATTTGGTCTCTACTGGTTATTACATATGACCCATGTAGCGCCAACGATAGAAATAATTCTGGGAGGAGTTAGCAGGATCATATGTCATTTGTGGCCATGTCGCCATGGAGGAACTGATTTCACCGTAGCTCGGCATGTAAAACAATTTCTAGATCGGCCGAACATGAGAAATTATGTAATTTATCAGAGTAAATTAATGGACATCCCCTAAGATAATGGAAACTTTACCTGGTCCTATATGAAAGGAAATGCTGTTTGCAACTAGACAGATTTTTGGTCTCCTCATGGTGAGATGAGTTCTTTGCTATGCAGAAGCCCCAAGGTTGAGAGTTAAGGCAAAACATTAAAGGGAAAACAAACATACAAGTTCACGTGGTAGAACAATTGGCCTAAATCCACATGAGAGGCAAGAATAACTTTGCTAAATAAAAAGGGAGAATACAAAAAAGTATGACGTACATAATCCTAAACACCCTGCAAAATGCATTCTACGGGATAATTAAAAAAGCATAAAGTACTCAAACCAAAATCCCCACAAAATATATATACCAGGTGAGACTGGGACTCCACAGAATCTACAAATCTCACACTCAAAATAGTCCCTGACTATCTCATAACAAAGGCAGCTCCAATATATGGGAGAACAAAGGTTTGGCAACTATGGGACGAATGAGAAAATTCCTATTCTAAACAAAGCAAATCCTTTCTATGAGGGAACTCTATAATAATTCCTATCCTACAGCGTACAAACAAAGCCATATTTAATCCACGTGTAATTGTCTCCAAAGCCACAAAACAATAATCTTAATAGAATTAGCTTCAAGGTGAAGTAAGGCTGTGTTAGAACATTCTCCAGTTATCCTAGATATGTTTCCTATATGGCGGATCCAACATCATATAGACCTCAGGTCACAAACTTTAGAGAAATTATGCATTGGTGGGAAAGAAAGGTAGGAGGGCTTTAAATTCTTGAAAATTTTGAAACGAGTGAAAAAATAGACTCAAAATTTGGAAGAAGTGTTCGGAAATTTAATAATCCATAAAGGAAGCATTTTGACAAGATTGAAAGAATCAGATAGATTAAGAAGGCAATATGAAGAATGGATCTAGGAGCGGGAGATTATAAGTGAGAAATGATCACTTGAAGGAACAAAATAAATACTGAATAGGTTAGGGAAGGAGATGCAAATTCAAAATATTTTCAAAGCCATAGGTTGGTCAGTTCTAAGAATGCTAAAATTGTGATTAATAAGTTGGAAGGCAAGGAAGGCAAGGTGCTTTAGGAGGATGAGGGTATTGAAAGACAACATTTCCTTTTTTGAGAAATCTTTATTCCAATTAGAGTGGTTTTCCATTACAGGGATGAAAATGAATAGTTGTAAAGGGCCTTTGAGGTACAGGAAATTAACTTGTATTATTTGATTGTGATAGAGAGAAGTCTTCAAGTCTGGATAGCTTCTGATTCATAATGTATCACAACTATTGGAATATTATTCGATGGGATATGTTGAAGGATTTTGAGGAGGCTTACTGTGGAAAACATGTGTAAATTAGTCATCATAAAGTAGTAGTTGCCTGGGTTAAATTGTAGGCTTAATTATGTTCAATTGTATGCTTAAATATAGAAGAAAATTATTCTGCTTAATTCTAGGAAAGATGGTGTAGCTTAATTGTCGGAAGGAATTATGTTAGTTTTGTGCATATATACCAGCTCTGATGTAATGTTTTGTACTAAGAAAACGAAATGATAATTTGAAATTTCTGTATGGTATCAGAGATGGGCTCCTGTCTAATTTATCCCGGCCTAAATTGCCATGATAGATAGGGGCATGACTTGCTTGGCTTTTTTTCTAACCGCTTGCTTTATTGGAAAAAGAAAGAGCTCTGCTTGCAGAACCCTAACTGCTATTCTATAACCCGGCCTTGAAGGATCAAGACCATAGAGGAAGGGAACAATATCTTCGGAAAGGATACCCATCTTGTTGAATCAAAATTTTCCAGGATGATCGTTTTTTGGTAGTACGAAGAGGGAATTGGCCCAAAAATTGGATGAGCTCCAGCGGCATACTCAATAGCCACCTATTTCCCGGCCAATTTGATCTATTTACAGGTCTGTTGAAACCTATTTCCAGTCTGGTTCAACATGTTTACTCAATAGCCACCTATCCCCAGGCCAATTTGATCTTTTTACAGGGCTGTTGAAACCTATTTCCAGTCTTGTTCAACATGTTACAGGCCGATTCAGCACATTTCTAGTACAGATCACATCTTTTCAAGGCTGATTCACCCTTTTATTCTTGCCGATTTATTCTTGTCCAATGATGGTGATGCAGGACAATAGCAGAATTAGAATTGTAGGAAGAAAGTACCAGTAGAAGAGAGGGAGAAGAAGCCGTGAAGAAGAAGAAGAAGAGAGGAGAAAGGGGGAGAAAACGGCTGCAAGCCAATCTTTAATTCATCATATTCATCAACTGTCTAAATTACAATATGAAAATCATATAAATAGCGAAAACTTAGCTAGTAACGGGTTTGGGCCAACCCACTACTACAAGCCCAATAACAATAAAAAATAGGAAACATAAATGATAAAATCTAGTAATAATAAAATTAAGTCTCGACTGTTAAAGCCCAATAACAATAAAATTAAGTCTCGATGATGTCCGCATCAGATGGTTTCTTCTTTCTTTGGCCATTTTACTCTGGTTTAGGCAATCACTTTACTGATATTTCTGATCTTAATGTTCCAATTGCTCATGGGAAAGGTGTTAGATCTTGTATTATGCATCCTACTTAAAATTAGTTTCCTATCAGAGTTTGCCTTCTTCTTTCAAAGCATTTACTGCTAATCTGTCATATTGTGATCCTATTCCCTAGACTATACGGGAAGCTTTTGCTGTTCCAAAATGGAAAGAAGCTATTTATGAGGAAATGAGGGCTTCAAAAAAGAACGACATAGAGCAGATGGAACGGTTGAAAGATATAAAGTGAGAGTTGTTGCAAAGGGATTTACACAAACTTAGGGAGTCAACTACCAAAGACATTTGCCCCTTTTGCAAAAATGAATTCAATTCAAGTTCCATTCTATCTGGTAGCACCATTTTAGACTGGCATCTTGAGCAACTTGATACACAAGGCCTTAATCACCTTGGGCTTGGTTCGAGACATTCACCACAACCATTCTTCGATTTAAATATACTTAAAGCCAAGGTAATCATAATTTGTTCTTCAAGTACTCTAAAAGTTGGGAAATTACTAATTTGATTATTTATGCGGATGACATTATTGTTACTAGTGATGATATCGGTGAGATTGAAATCTTAAAAAACATGTTTTCCAAGGAATTTAGATAGAGGATTTGGGGAAGTTGAGATATATATATATTAGGTATTGAGGTTACGAGATCTACAAAGAGGATATTATTGTCACAAAGAAATACATCTTAGATCTTCTCAAGGAAACGAGTATGCTAGATTGCAAACTAGGTGATACTCCAGTTGATCCAAATCATAACTTAGGAGCTATTATAAAGATTTTGTAGTTAACAATAACAAAGATTGATTGATAAGCTAATATATCTGTCTCACATTAAACCTTTGATAGTACATTTTTTGTAAGTGTAGTTAGTCACTACATCCACTCTCCTTGTGAAATTCATATGGAGGCAATTTTGAAGATCCTACGATGTTTGAAAAGAAAATTTGGAAACGGCTTACTTTTTTTTTCAAACAATCACCATCTTCATGTAGAAGCTTATACAGATATCGATTGGGTGGGCTAGATCAAGAGGACACCACCTGTATATTGCAAATTTATTAGAGGAAATCTAGTTACTTAGAGAAGTAAAGAACAACCCGGGTTGCAAGATCTAATGTAGAAGCCGAATTTTGAGCGCTGCACAAGGAATTTGTAAGTTGATGTGGTTAAAGACATTGTTCAAAGAACTACAAGTTGCTGAGACACAAACAACGAAGCTCTATTGTGATAATAAAGCTGCTAGTATTGCAATCAATCGTGTTCAGCATGACATAACTAAACATGTTGAAATTGATACACTTTATTAAGGAGAAGGTTGACAATAGTCAAATTTGTATTCCATTAGTCACTAATGGAAAACAACTCGCAAATGTTAAAAACCAAAGAGTTACCTCGAATGTTTCTTTCACATGTTCGCAAGATGGGAACAATGGATATCTTCCAACCAACTTGAGGGGAGTGTGAAAAACGTGTAAAATAAGTTGTCATATAGCTTAGTTGTAGTTTACTAGGCTTAATTATGTTTAATGGTATGCTTAAATGTAGGAGAGAATTATTTTGCTCAATTCTAGGAGAGACGATGTAGGTTATGAGAAATCATTTTGCAAACCAGAAATGGTTAAATCAGTGACAAATAGTTATGCTCTGTTATTTCTTCATTTTCAGTTTCCATCCTATGTCCTCTAAAGTCTACACCCACCGAAGTTGAGCATGTATATATTAATGTGAAAAAAGCAAGCAAGAGAGAAAAGAGAAGATTGCAAATTTGTCCTTCATTATCTATTCCACGATGCAATTGAGCTGGTAGACAAAAGAAAGTATTCCAAGATGCAATTGAGCTGCAAGAGAGAAGGAACATCTAGCCCCTGTTTGGGATTCATTTTAATGTATTTTTGGAGAAAATGTATTTTGGAATAGTAATTTTTTTAAAGAATGTGTGGTTAAAAAAGAAGGAAAATTTGGATTTACATGTATTATTATTTTATTAAAGAATATATGATTAAAAAGAGGAGAGAGAAAAATGTAATAAAATTACAATGGGGATCAAATAGGGGCATAATGTAACAAGAAGAAATGTTAATCAGGATCCCACCAATGAGTATTTTCTATTAAGAATATAATGGTACAGTCAAACCTAAAATTTATATCAAGTCTCTGTAAGTAATTACATTTAGCACTTGTTTGATGACATTATTTTGAGAAAATTGAATTTTGAATAGTAATTTTTTGGTGAATGTGTGATTAACAAGTGGGGAAAAGTTTGGATTTACATGCAAAATATTTTATTACGTAAATGTAGTTAAAAATGAGTGAGAAATAAGAGTTTTGAAATAATGGTTGTCAAACAGGAGCTTAGTCTCTGTCTCTGAAATTCTAAAAGCAAAGCTGTATGAATGAGACCTAAAATAACTAATCTCATTAACAATAAAAATATGTTTTTCAAATGAACATATCTAGTTGGCAAAAAGAGCATGAGACGATGTAAGTCCTGCAAGTGTCAGTTTACAGAGCTCTCAGCAGGAAGAGAACACCTTTTGTCTCTTTCTGCTCAACTGTTAAGAAAGGATATTGATTCAATTCAAAGCACCCGTTTATAAATTCATAGCTGGCCAAATTTTTGGACGAAAATGGAGACATAGGTGGACTACTTTTTACCTTTAAGCTGACCTACCAAATGTGGTCTACATCAATGTCAGTACACCTGGTTTTCACTATTGCCAAGCAGCACCTTATTCTTTTAATTTAGGACGAGTTCAAAGATCAACCCATGCACCATATAAGTTCAGCAACATGATACTTGCTAAAAATTTAGAAAGAGGAAGAGAGAGAAAGAATAAATGAAATACACAAAGTTAATCAGAAATGACAAGATCCTTTTTGGCTTAAGAGGTAAATGAAGAAAGAGGATTCATGTCCCCATCTAAACATAGCATATGATAAGACTTTCACTTGTTAAATTCAGAATATGTAATTCTTTCCCCAATAGAATGTTAGTCAAGGAATATATTCTAGCATGTCATGTTAGCATCGCAACACAAAATTTAAATGGTAAAATAATACAATATGATCAGTCAAAAAAAAAAAAAAGGTGCATATCTTCAGTGCTTTTCATCTATTACCTGTTTCAGAGATATTTTCATGAGGCCGTTCTGCCTTTGTCTTCGAAATGGACTCCTCCTCAAAGCGTTCTCGCGCATCAAGTATAATGCTGAGATACTTGTACATGTTGCTTTGAATCATAAGTTTAATATCCTCCAGTTCTTGGGTGGTAAACTTATTGCCGTACAAGATTTTGGCCTTCACCCATAATTGAAAGAATATCAGGTGAGGACTGTGAGGAATAAAGGATGGCGAAAAATGATTGTTTTAATGCAACATGCAAAGCCAAAATCAATGAAATGTCTCAAGGAAATCATTACTGCAAAGAAACAAAAGAAATGATTGTCTTAATACACCACAAGCAGAAATCATCATTAAATGATTGTCTTAATGCACCACAACCAACTTTTTCTAATCATGAAAATTATTTACTAACGTTTAGGGAAAGTTTTCACCAATAATAAGCGCTATAATTATTTTAGAATTAGTTATGAGATTCTTTTGAAAACCAGAAGTTGGTTACCTGTTTGAAAATGGTACTGGTTCCAGAACCTTGAAGTCCAACTAGAAGGAGCTTCTGAAATTTCTTCTGCTCTAGATAATTCGGTACTGCAGTATAATTGCTGGCCTCATCAGTTTGTCCATGAGGTTGACCTTGGGGCACAGGCAAGGAGAACAAGGAGCAGACAAATCGTGTTGATGCCTTGCAAATGAAATTTTAAATGCTTGTGAAAAGATCCCCCCGACTTGTACAGTACATACAAAATGCATACATCATGCAATATTCCATAATAATAAATACCTTTTCCCAGATATTGCCTCTGATATTATTTTGACCTTCCTCCTCATAACGACCATCATCATACACCCAGAAATGAGTATCACGTGGACACTGCACATTTGCAAGCTGAAACACATATACAATATGGCAACATGTTAGGACAAACTGCATATGAACTGAAAACCCAATCAAGCACGTAAGGACTTCACAAGGTGAACCATAAAGTCAAAATCACACCAACTACAAAAGATGATGAAGGCAGGGAGACTAGCTGCTTGAGTCTCTTGTAATCCAAAACAGAAATCCACACTACTCCAACTTTTAAGATAATGACTGATTGAATTATGCCGTCCTTAGTTAACTCCTTTGTTTGCATGTCTTCTGCAGTTATTTCTCGATTTATTTCACAACGAAATAAGGAAAGGGGAAGAGGAAAGTTGGACGCAAGGAAAAGGAAGGAAGGTCATAAATTGCAAATTCGCAATGGATTCCTCTAGTTCATGTGATTAGCCTATGGGATGAACAAATGAGTATCCATTCCAATAAACATATTGCTAGAAATTTTCAATACATAAGCTCTGTGTGTGGTATTATTACGTCATACTAACTACAAACACATTCACGCACATAATCAAAATGTAAAATTCAAATAAAAGAAGCTTTAGTTTTATTGAAGAAAAAAAAAATCTTGGTTGCAGCCTTCTTCAATTGCTGTAGTATGTTTGCTCTCCAAAAAGACTGGATCTCTCAATTAAAGAAAACTTCGTGGGGGCGTCAAACAACAGAAAGAGATAAATTTTGTGAATCACACATTTAAGTGGTCCACGCAAAACTAGATTTCTTGCCACTTGTTTGGCGTATTTAATGTTTTATCACCTAACACCTGTGATTAATCTACACCAAATTTGAGATTCCACCAGGTTTTACAGCTTTGGTAATTGCTGGATTCCATTTCCTCAGTATAAAACATTACTTTTTCCGCTGCTGACTAATTGCTACTATTCGTGCTTTTAGCATTTTGTATTGAAGGAAAATGAAAACATGGAGAGTACAAAATACCAATGAAAATTAAAAGGGCACTGCCAAATGAAATTTTGCAATTGAATCTTTATGCAAAAGAAAGGATCTCCATACCCATTGGGTTCCATGGTGCCCCTCAAACCTAACACAGATCCACCCTCTAGGATTGATATTTCCTTCTTCCAGTGTTGTTTTTTAACTAATTTTAATCAGACATGTCCCTCCCCTACATATAGTGTTAATATTTTGGCTGAATTTTGTATGACTGGTTCATCCAGTAAAACCCGCACAAACTATTCCTTTTCCCTAAGAGGTGATGCCAGAATTAGTTATTAGCTTATCCGATAAGAGTGACATTCAATTATTTTACTAGCCACTAGTTTGGGCTCAAATCAATCATTTAGCATAAAGTGTCTGCGTATTCATAATACTGATTAATAGTATTCAACTGAGGAGCATTATTGCCAGGCCTTCTATCTCAGGGGCACCAAATCTTCTTGCGTAATCATTAACATATCCATAAAAACGCCAATGAGTATTACAAACCATTTTGAACTAACCATTTGTGTCGTTCTCATATATTATTGTGAAGTTTCAAACAAAAAGATGGTAGTCACAGATTAGTCATCTAACTATATAAAAAGAATTCATAAAATCCATCTGAAGACTAGCTTTCATTCAATTCTTCTGTTTTGTTATTCATGTATTAGATGAATTCCATTACTAGAAATAAATAAACAAATTAATTGTCTATTGCATTTAAATTGAATTTAAGTAACTGGCCTTGCCAACATAAATCCTAGGGCCTCCCCCCAGGATAAACATACTGACAACAAAGACAAAATTGTAAGGAGAATGCTAGGAGAAATTTTACATAATAAAAATAAGGTGTACCACTTTATATTTCCTTTCCTAGTTCTTCCAGAGCAATAACATGGCACAAACAATCTTACGGTCACCTCATTCCTTAAAATGATGGATAGAATTCAACCACTACAACTCATTATTTGGACAGGTACTACTATATTCAACCTCTAATTACAAAATATGTAACAGCTTAAATTGCTTGACTGAAAGGGCACAAACAACTCAATCAAGCGGTGATGTACAGTGAACCCACAAAAAGAACTTAATTCAAGCTACTAACGTTTCACAGAACCGGGAAGGACTAGATAGCCCTCTTTTTTAAGGAAAATATGATCTATATATCACATATCTCGAGGCACTATTTAATATTTATTCAAGCATGTGAAGAAAAATAGAGATGTAATAACCTCTATTAAAAGAATAACAAGCATGGCAACATGTCACTGAACTGCATACTTCCAAATTTTGGTAGAAGATATCAGCATCTACATGCATATATACACAGACACCCCCCATAAGCAAAANCCATTTTGAACTAACCATTTGTGTCGTTCTCATATATTATTGTGAAGTTTCAAACACAATGATGGTAGTCAGAGATTAGTCATCTAACTATATAAAAAGAATTCATAAAATCCATCTGAAGACTAGCTTTCATTCAATTCTTCTGTTCTGTTATTCATGTATTAGATGAATTCCATTACTAGAAATAAATAAACAAATTAATTGTCTATTGCATTTAAATTGAATTTAAGTAACTGGCCTTGCCAACATAAATCCTAGGGCCTCCCCCCAGGATAAACATACTGACAACAAAGACAAAATTGTAAGGAGAATGCTAGGAGAAATTTTACATAATAAAAATAAGGTGTACCACTTTATATTTCCTTTCCTAGTTCTTCCAGAGCAATAACATGGCACAAACAATCTTACGGTCACCTCATTCCTTAAAATGATGGATAGAATTCAACCACTACAACTGATTATTTGGACAGGTACTACTATATTCAACCTCTAATTACAAAATATGTAACAACTTAAATTGCTTGACTGAAAGGGCACAAACAACTCAATCAAGCGGTGATGTACAGTGAACCCACAAAAAGAAAAAGAACTTAATTCAAGCTACTAACGTTTCACAGAATCGGGAAGGACTAGATAGCCCTCTTTTTTAAGGAAAATATGATCTATATATCACACATCTCGATGCACTATTTAATATTTATTCAAGCATGTGAAGAAAACTAGAGATGTAATAACCTCTATTAAAAGAATAACAAGCATGGCAACATGTCACTGAACTGCATACTTCCAAATTTTGGTAGAAGATATCAGCATCTACATGCATGTATACACAGACTGATAGCGTGAGATGATTAGAAGGGAGTGATTTTAGGAAATAAAATCACTCTATCTTAGGCAAGCAAATTGTAATCCCTCTATCAAAGGAATAGGATCCATATAGCCAAAATTAGATTGTAATTTTTTCCTATTTAAATGTACTATTCCTACTGTAAAGAAGATGAATGAAAGTGAATCCAAATTACAGTTGTAACATGGTATCAGAGCCATGGTAAAATCCCCTACCCATACCCTGCTTTAACGGTGCTCTATTGAGCATTTCTTCAAACAGATGGAGGCCACCCATATACCTGCAAACCCAGACCACCCACTACCAGAGACTGAAGCCATCGTTACTAACACCAGTGTGCTTGCTCACCCCAGCCATCCACCACTACAAACCAACGACACCACTTTTACAGACCTCACAACGAGAATGTCTGAAGCTCTGTACAAAGCACAGGCAACGGTCCCAACCACAGAAATTTCACCCCAAATCGGCATCAAACTAGACGGCTCTAATTATGCTCTATGGTCTCAGATCATGGAAATGAATGTAGCTGGAAAAGATAAACTTGGTTACTTGAATGGAGATATTCCTCCACCTCTACCGACTGACCCGAACTACCGCAAGTGGCGCACCGAAAACGCCATTGTCAAAGGCTGGATCATCAATTCACTGGACCCGTCCCTCATTGGCAATTTTATTCGATTTCCCACCGCTAAAGCTGTATGGGATGCCATAGAAACCACTTATTTTGACGGGAATGACACTTCCCAAGTTTACGAACTTCGGTGACGAGTTGCTCGATTAAGACAATCGGGTGGGTCTATTGAAAAATACTACACTGAGTTGCAAGGATTGTGGCGTGAAATTGACTTCCGCAGCCCCAATCCGATGGTTTGTTCTACTAATATTGATCACTTCAATAAACTAATCCAGGAGGATCGAGTTTATACTTTTTTGGATGGCCTTGATGACAAGCTCGACAACATCAGGGGAGGAATTTTACAGATGAAACCGTTCCCATCAATCGAAGAAGCTTATGCGTATGTCCGTCGTGAGGCTCTCCGACAAGCAGTTATGACCTTCTCCGACGATGGCATCTCCTCAGGAGCGGTGCTGGCCACAAAAGGGCTGAAACTTGGACCAGCACTATTCCCTTCTCAGGGCTCGTCCTCCCTGGGTTCGAAGAAGCCAAATGTTTCTTCCAAACTCAAGGGAGGGGGAGAAAGTAAGAAATGTTCCCACTGTGGGAATTCCAGACACACACGAGAAAACTGTTTTAAACTCAACGGGTATCCTGATTGGTGACATGAATTGCAGGACAAAAAGAAAAAAGATGGAAACGACACTGCCAGACGAACGGGTAAGGCAGCAGTGGCAATGGCAGAGTCACAGTTGTGTTTACTTCCTCAGATTGGACCTTCTCAAGAAGGGGATGCTACCTCGGATTTAGGTAATTTTGGTTCAGTGTGTATTACTACTTCCAGGGACGAAAATAATGGTGCATGGTTACTCGACTCTGGGGCTACTGATCATATGACATATAATGCAAACGATTTTACTCAATCATCCCCTCCTCAGCGCACCAGTGTTGTGAATGCTAATGGGTTTATTTCCCCTGTGACAGAGGCTGGCTCTGTATCTCTATCTCCTTCCCTACGCTTATCTAACACTTTATTGGTGCCCTCACTTTCGCACAAATTGTTGTCTGTAAGCCAAGTAACTACAGAATTAAATTGTGCAGTGCTGATTTACCCTACCTTTTGTCTTCTGCAGGATATTCTCACCAAGGAGATTATTGGGCGTGGTACTAAGAAGGGGGGATTATACTACATGGAGGATTTCAGTGTAGGTCGAGCTCATCATGTACAAAGCAGTGGGAGGGACCGACAAATCTGGCTTTGGCACCGTCGTCTAGGACACCCGTCTTTCAATTATTTGAAGCATCTATTACCTGGTCTTTTTTCAAATATGGCGATCTCTGACTTTAGATGTGATACATGTATTTTAGCTAAAAGTCATCGAACATCTTATCCATTGAGCATGAATAAAAGTACTATTCCATTTTCTTTAGTACATTCTGATGTGTGGGGCCCCTCACCTATTACTGTTGGATCTGGGGTTCGTTGGTTTGTCATATTTGTGGATGATTGCACCCGCATGACTTGGCTCTATCTATTAAAACACAAAGATGAAGTGTTTAAGGTATTTCAGTCGTTCCACACCATGATTCAAACTCAGTTCTCTGCCACACTTAGAGTTCGCCGCTCCGACAATGGTGGTGAATATGTCAATCAACACTTCCGTGCCTACTTTGAACAGCATGGCCTTATTCATGAGACGTCATGCCCTCAAAGCCCTTAGCAAAATGGTATTGCTGAACGGAAAAATCGACACATACTTGAGACTACAAGAGCTCTTCTTCATGGGGGCCTTTGCCCCAACTCAATACTGGCCTGATGCAGTATCCACAGCCGTCTACCTACTCAATCAGATGCCATCTAAGGTCTTAAATTTTAAAACTCCACTTCAAACTCTTGCCTCTCATGTCCCGATACCCACAACACTCATGCTCACTCCCCGAGTATGTGGTTGTGTGGCTTACGTGCATCTTCACAAAAATCAGCGGACGAAACTTGACCCATGTGCTCTTCGGTGTATGTTTGTGGGCTATGCTGTACATCAGAAAGGTTATCGGTGCTATGACCTTTTGACTAAACGCACCTATGTGACTATGGATGTTACATTCTCAGAGATCGACACTTTTTTCCCTCCGACAACCAGTTCTTCTCTTCAGGGGGAGACAAGGGATGAAGAGTCAAATTGGTTGCACTTTAATTGGTCAAATATGGAGACAACAATAGAATCAGAGAAAGAGTCGACTTCAACAAATACAGAGATAACAATAGAACCAGAACTGACTTTGATAGAAAGAGAATCAGGAAGTGATACATTTATAGAAGCTGGACCAGAAGCAGAATTGGAATCTCCCCCTCCTTCAGTACCTGCAGACCCATCTCCTGAGAATATCCTCGAGGTAAGCACTCCTGCTATAACTCATTGCATAAATTCAGATATTCCTGCTGGATACAAGTTACCTTTCAGGCATAATCGGGGCAAACCACCAAATAAATACTCTCCCAAGATGAAAGAACGAGGGTCGAAGTATCCAATAGCGAACTACATGTCCACTGGAAAACTATCTGAACCTTTGAGAGCCTTTGCACATGTACTCTCCTCAAATCATATTCCAACTGGAGTTCAGGAAGCCTTGTCAAACTCAAAATGGGCTCAAGCAATGAAAGAAGAGATGGAGGCACTGTTAAAAAACAATACATGGACCCTGGTCCCATTACCTGAGGGAAAGAAAACTGTAGGATGCAAGTGGGTTTTCTCCATCAAACACAAGGCTGATGGATCTATCGAACGGTACAAAGCAAGGCTGGTAGCAAAAGGCTATACGCAGACCTATGGAGTGGACTATCAAGAGACTTTCTCACCTGTTGCAAAATTGAGCACAGTACGAATTTTATTATCTCTTGCAGCTACCCTCGACTGGCCGTTACATCAACTTGATGTAAAGAATGCATTCCTCCATAGCGATCTTGAAGAAGAAGTTTACATGAATCTTTCCCCAGGTTACACATGCCCCTCAGATACAAGAATCGTGTGTAAGCTGCAACGAGCACTATATGGACTGAAGCAATCACCTCGAGCATGGTTTGGACGATTTAGTCTGACAATGAAGAAATGCGGGTTCAAACAAAGTGAATCAGATCACACGCTATTTCTGAAGCATAGAATGGGTAAGATAACCGCTCTAATAGTATATGTGGATGATATGATTATCACGGGGGATGACATGGAAGAAATATCCAGAATTCAGAGACAGTTGGCAACTGAGTTCGAGATGAAGAACTTGGGAGGACTAAAATATTTTTTGGGGATTGAAGTGGCCAGGTCCAAGCAAGGTATATTTCTCTCCCAAAGAAAATATGTGTTGGACTTACTAGCCGAGGTGGGAATGTTAGAATGCAAACCGGCAGACACTCCAATTATCCAGAATCATCGACTTAGTGAGCACCCAGGTCAAGTACCATCAGATAAAGGGAGGTATCAAAGGCTAGTTGGCAAACTCATATACCTATCACATACCCGTCCAGATATTGCATATGATGTGAGTGTGGTTAGCCAATTTATGCACAACCCTAGTGAAGATCACATGGATGCTGTAACCCGGATACTAAGGTATTTGAAATTCTCACCTGGAAAAGGACTTATGTTTTCAAAGAATAATCATTTAAGAATAGAAGGCTACACAGATGCAGACTGGGCCGGGAATATCTTAGACAGAAGATCCACCTCAGGCTACTTCTTGTTTGTTGGAGGGAATCTCGTTACATGGAAAAGTAAAAAACAAAAGGTGGTATCATTATCAAGTGCTGAAGCTGAGTTTCGAGGAATGGCAAAGGGACTTTGCGAACTCATCTGGATAAAAAGACTACTCACAGAAATTGGTTTTGCTTCCACTACCGAGATAAACTTGTTTTGTGACAACAAAGCAGCTATTGCCATCTCTCATGACCCTGTCCAACATGATATGACGAAACATGTGGAAGTAGATCGACATTTTATCAAGGAAAATCTGGAAGCAAAGGTAATTCAATTCCCATTCGTGAAATCTGAAGACCAACTAGCAGATATACTCACCAAGGCAGTGTCAAGTAAAGATTTTCACAACTCACTTAACAAGTTGGGCATCAGAGATTTGACCGCACCAACTTGAGGGGGAGTGATAGCGTGAGATGATTAGAAGGGAGTGATTTTAGGAAATAAAATCACTCTATCTTAGGCAAGCAAATTGTAATCCCTCTATCAAAGGAATAGGATCCATATAGCCAAAATTAGATTGTAATTTTTTCCTATTTAAATGTACTATTCCTACTGTAAAGAAGATGAATGAAAGTGAATCCAAATTACAGTTGTAACACAGACACCCCCCATAAGCAAAATATCTACAAGATTCACACGCTTCATTATTGCCATGAAACTTTGAACTAACCTTCAGTACTCTCAGTTCAAGTTTTGTGATTTCTCGACCATTCATGTAAACCTCAGTATTGCCATTGCTTGCATTGGAATTAAGTTTCCCGGTGAAGTTTAAGTTTGAGCTTATAATTCTATCTGGTTTCTCCCCCTCCTGTCAGGTGAATACAAACTTTATTGGCGTTTCTTCTTTTCAGATAAACATAACAAAATAAAAATAACAGCTGAACATATAGCATCCTTGTATTACCTTTCCCCAGAGACCTGATTCCTTGTCGTACCAATACCTTCCTGGCTTCAATTTCCTTGGGGGCGAAGGGCATCCAAAAAGTTCTGCCATCTCTTCTGGCTTTAAAGGATATCCATTCACAATTAACTGCTCTGGCCGTAGCTGATTAGCAGAACATTCCTTTTCAGTTTTCATTATGTGTTTGACTTCTAATGGACTAAGTAAACGTGACAACAATCTTGAATGTTTCCCCAATTTGAATCGATTTGACTCATCAATTGGCTCGCCAATACAGGTAACACATTTGCGCCCTTCTGGCATGGAACCCATTGCTCTTAGCACACAATTGCTGCAATACTTGGCATTACAAACTAGGCAGGATTCCTTGGTTTCCCACTTCCCTTTTCTACATCTATAACAGACTCTCGTTTTCTTCCTCTTCTTTTTCTCTTTCATCACACCTACAAACTCAGGAAGCAATTGTTTCTCCACATCAGCCACTCTTCTTTCGGATCTATCGACAGTATTAAAGGTGACCACTGTGGCTCTCTTTCCTTCACCGGGAGGCTCTTTTGGAGCATTATTACATCTACTGTGCACAGAACCTGGGGAAGCTGAATGGGAATGTGAAGAAGATTCGGGGTTTTGTAAGACGGATACCACAGACTCCGAACTTCCTGATATCCTAGGACTTTGATTAGGTGGACTTGTGACACTTGCAATCCGAGACACTGGCAAACGAATTGGTTCTATTACAGGAGCTGCATCACGGGCAAATGGTCTTCTAGATTCTGAAAGGGGTTCAGCAGTCGGAATCCCATCCAAATTCATGTCAAAAGGTTCTACTCGCGGAACCTCATAGGAAACTGGGGGGCCCTTATACTCCAGAGCAATGGAGTAATCCAAGTTATCATCTTCCGGAATGGGAGCCCCCGGAGGAAGCATCTTCCTCACCATCGCCCTCCAACCCTCTTCCCCATTTTTCTCCATCTTTCCTCACACAAAATCACCAATCTCAGTTTTTAAATGTATCGTATATCCTTGACAATAAAAAATTCACACGTCAATTTCACGATAATCTCATAAAATTGTCAACAGGGAACAGCTGCAAAGAACGGAATTCAACACCTGATCACAATCGCTGCCCCTACAAAAATCTGTTCAAAATTCAAAGCAATGAAATCACATAACTTATTGAAACCACAGAAAATTCAACAGTCCAAGAATGAGGCGGTTCCGCCAAAGAAATTTTCAAAACAAGCACACAAATACCTGAAAATTCAGACCTCTTATCTTGAAAAGAAACCTTCAAGATTCTGAATTTTTAATCTTTAGAGTCAAACTCTCACCAGATAAATCCAAACCCATCAATTTCAAAAACCAACCAACTCTACAAGTCCACGGTCTATCAGATAATTTATTTATGAATATATAAAGATGGCTATGCAACACGAACAGATTGACAAAAAATACTTTACAGAAAGTTAAAAAAAAAAAAAATAGTTTGTACCACGGGGTTAGAAAAGTCTAACAATACAGTTTTTTTTTTTCATTTTTTTTTTTTCAATCGCATACGACAAGCTAACATGAAGGATAGTTAAAAATGGAAAAAGCAAAAATAATAATTAAAAACAAGCTGCTTTTTATAGCTTTAAAAGCTGAAAATAGAACAGGAAAAGAATATTTTCAATCATGCTACAATGTTAGATTACTTGACATAATTCTTAAAATTTGATTTTTAGTAGATTATGATAGAAGTTTTTAAAATGTGTGGTTGAAAAGATGTGGGACCCATAAAAATGTGACTAATATTGATTATTTGACTTTAACTTATATTAAAATCAGATTTTAATTTTTGCCGAAACATGCAATATATATCACATGACATTTTATCATTAGACAGTTTTAAAAGCAGTAAACTTTTTCTTCCATCAAATAATTATCTATTGTCACCTCAATTTATGTCATTGCATCTGTCAAATTTCTTCTATCAAAATGGCAAAATCGGAGTAGTTTTTAAAGAATCTACCTTTGAACAAGAACAAGAAAGTGAAGATAATAATGGATTATATCCGATAGATACGACACAAATGGGGTCCATGTGTGGCACGGTTGATAATGGGGTCTGAAGTGGAGTGGTTAGAATATGTATTTTCGGTGGTTAAAATATATATTTTCGGGTTGGAAGCAATTCGTTTTTTTTGATTTTTTAAATACTTTTTTGGACCACTTATAAGCATCAGAAGTCATTACTTATGATTAAAAATAACAATCATGCTACAAGTATATCATTTTTGACATCAAGTTTGACATTGTGCCACATGTTGCATCACGATTGGCCAGTTTAAAAATACAACACACTTTCCCGCCACTCCATTTTTGAATTTGCAAAGGAGTGTCAAACTCCATGTACACAAGGAGCGTACAATGAGCATAATTCTAAAAATAATTAACGTGTGAGTTCCATATCGTGGAATAGAACTACTCGATTCGGACTAGAAAGAAGATGAGTTAAGCTTAACACTTTGAATCATGAAATTAAGAACCGGACGATTTTGATATGAATATTGCTTCTAGCTACATAATAACAGAAATGATTTTTCATTGCATTTAAAATATCATTTTTTTATTATTGAATTCGAAACCGAATATGTAATAATAAAACTAGAAAACTTGAACAAAAATTTACACTTTACATTATTTTTCTGATGCATAAAACCAACTGGACTAATCTATGCCCAATGAATTAAACTAATTTACATCTTCTTACATCAAGTTTAACGTCTAAATCAAGGGCCATGATTTTGACACATCAAGAATGTCAAATTTAATGTACATGTAGCACATTTGATGCCCAATTCATCCCTAGTTAGAATTTTTTTGGGAATCTTTGAACACAGATACCAAAAATCAATGCTTTAACAGTTACTCCACATCACTAGATGAATATAGAAAAATGTGTAATGAAGTCTTGTGCAAGAGGATAACATGAACAAGGAGATATTTAAAATTTCATCTCTTGCTATTATCCTCTACCGTGGAAACTTTGGCTTTCATATCTGTTCTTCCATGTAAATAATATTTGGCATTGTATTGACAGTGGTTTAAACTTATATATGTCCATAATAAGTTTTAGCATCATTGTGAATTGCATTGCAACAATTAATTTCTTGTTTGACTTTCTTTAAATTAAAATTCTTTATTTCTAATCATACGTTCACATAATAAAATGTCCTGGACGTAAACAAAAAAGATTTCATTCTTTTTAACCACACATTTTTCAAAAAATTACTATTAAAATTTTTTTTTTCTCTTAATTTCTCTTTTTAATGGTCATAAAACATGAGCTAAATTGTACCGCGAGAGGAAACAAGAATATTATTTGTGGTCAATATTTAACTTGATCAAAAGTGAAAGTTTTAATTCCATTTTAACTTTTTAATTTATGACACGTAGCCTCACTGAAATTGCAATCTCAGTTTGGGTGGCACTAGATGGTAGATTAAATGAAAATGTGAAATTAGTCATTTAAGTTTACATTTCATTTAGCATACCATCTAGTACTACATGATCGGGTGTCACGGACCGCAGCTTTACTCAAGCCCCGTGACCATATCGCAGCCGCAGTTTGCCCCAACTTCGTCCACACATTGTAAATATTTTATTTAATTGTAAAATAGTTGGAAATTAGAAAATTTTAGTATGATTCTAGAGATTTTAAACGTATACTCCCGCATGTTGGATTTTTGTTGCTAAGTCAATTATAGAGGGTATTAGTCTTTTAAACATCTTTCAAACTTTCTAGTGTTCGCCCCCTGCACTAGCCATTGTAATTTCCTGCTTTCAATCAATTGTAATTTCAAGCTTTCTAGTAATCTGTGATCAAGTTTAATTCTATGCATTT